ATCTGATCCTGCTTGCCTCTCCCCTCACCTGGGAGCAGTCTCCTGCGCCCGCTCTGCCCTTCAGACACACAGACCTTTCTTCAGGTCCCCAAATGAGCCTCACTGTGTCTCCCCTCCTTGACCTCACACATCACCCTTCACTTCACCAAGCCCTGTGCCTCTTTCAGGCGCTTCCTCAGGAAGGCCTTTAGTGAGGCCTAGATTGAGTTAGATCCTCCCGCTCTGTCCCCTGAGCACCCCATCTGTCCCCTCTCAGAACAGTCACACACCTTATTGTAATTATTTAATGTCTTTTCTCCAGATAAACTGTAAGTACTGTGCAAGATGGTAGCTGCCCTTAAACCCACTATATTTCCAGTATCCAGTCCCAGGCCTGGCACATGGTAGGAGTTCTGTAAATATTTATTACATAAGTGAAATCGTAAATGAGTGATGGGATGAAAACACATGCGTCTTAAATTATCCGCAGTAAAATTAAAGTTACTTATCTATCATTATGAGGTGCTTAGTGGACGCCATCCAAGGCGAAGTCCTTGGGGGAAACCCTGCCGTCCTATACAGCGTAAAAGCCTTTTAACGAATGCATTCTCCCTTCGCTCACCCAACGCTGCCCACCCATACCGAGGGAGGGTGCGGGTCTTACACAAGTCGTTGGATTTAGCAACCTAGAGAGCTACTGAGCCTACTTAGAGAGAGGGTCGGTGGCTAGCTTTTTGTTTTTGTTTTTTGAGAAAAAGGGATTGATGGTTTCTGGTCAGAAAAGACTAGAAAACGTAGAGGAAACAACAGAATGCAAATCAATATTGTGTGCCTGATATGTGGCTGGATGGAAGGAAAATTGGGATGGCAACGGGAAGAGCAAGGATAGAGTTGGTTGGAGAAAAGGGGAAGAGAGCTGGAAAACAGGGGCAGAAACAGAGGGTGCTCCAAACTGGAATCATGGAGAAAGGCAATGCAAGCCAAGACCATTCTGTGACTGTTCTGAGAGGGTACAGATGCGGTGCTCAGGGGACAGAGCGGGAAATTAAGGAAACCCTTAATTTCCTATTTTTATTCCCCAAAGTATTTCGCAAATATGTGAAATTTAAAAATGAGCTAAACACAAAGAACGCTGGCCTGGATTCTTGGCCCAGCCTTGTCACTAACTTGCTGTGTGGCCTCAGTCAAATCGCTTAGTCTGCCCAAGTCTGTTTCCTCCCTTGAGATGAAGAGTTTAACATAAACTAGGTTTACCGTTAGTTCAGAACTTTCGTAAATGCCGTTGTTCAATGACAATGCTTTTCTCAAAGACAAAATGAGAGAACACTTGGAAGAATTCAACCCTTTCCTGTTAACAATCTCTACTAAGTAAGTAACCATCCTCACCTTGGGTAAATAGTTTCTTTCTTAGAAGGCTCTCTGTTCTTAAGTATGTTTTAAATCTGGTACTAATTTCCTGATTAATTTCTATTGCGTTTTCATTCACAATAGCTAATGTTTGTAAAATATATAAATTGCCTTTAGGATTTAGAAGGTTCTTTCACACTGGTCCAGACCAAAACTCTGAGTGCAGAAATGGAAACGAGCCAGGGACACAGAGCTCCGAAGGGGAAACCCAAGGCTGGGGTCTGAGCTTCCTGCACAGACCTGGACTTGGTGCCAAAGTAGCCAACAGCCGGGCATGGCAACTTACATACTTTCTCCTTCCAGCAGAAGACTTGTGGATGTGTTATGGATCCAGACAGACAGGGAAGTAGCATTTGCCAATTCTGAAACCCTTAATTTCCTATTTTTATTCCCCAAAGTATTTCGCAAATATTTGAAATTTAAAAATAAAGGTCATCCATTCTATTTTGACAAGCTGATTCAGAAGCATGTGAGAATATCAATCCTTTCAAATAAAACACTTCCTATTTCCAGTATCTTTTTTTTTACCTTGAATGTACAGCCAGAGCACAAATCCTGATATTAGTCATGGATCTCGGATAGCCTCCATTCACAGTTTATGTACTAAAAATATTTATATATTGCTTGGTCTCGATGAGCGCAATAGAGATCTTTCAAAAAGATTGATGCAGTGGGATGTAATAAAAGTTGACTTATAGCCCTGAATCATTTCTAGTTTCAACTCTGCCTCTTGGTTGCATGTTTCAAGAGTAGCACAGAACATTGAATTTCCTCTGGAGGAAGTTAGAAGTGATACTAATTTACTTCTCCAGGGAAGAGGTGCTTGCAGGCCCTATTTTTAGCCCTAGGAAAGAGTGACCACTTTCCAATTTAACTCTGCAGTGAGTAGGGAGGCAGATGAGGAAGCAAGGGGTTTAGAGCCATGTGTTGAAGACCAGGAAGGCCACTGAGCAGAAGCTCCGGCTCTCGGCATCACAGCTCAGGAACTTTGGACCTGAACACAAGGAGGGGTAACCAGGCCCAGGGTAAACAGACCAAGATCAGAGGTTAAGGGCAGGCTCTTCTATCAGATTTAGGAGGGTTCCTGCAACTCAGTAGTGGAGGTAAACAAACTCTCCTCTACCCTCAAGGTTCTTCCGGCTGGTCTAATAATCAAATAAACGTGAGACAGATTAGCAAGAGAAAATAACCACATTTAACACATATATGTGTCNTCTCTACCCTCAAGGTTCTTCCAGCTGGTCTAATAATCAAATAAACATGAGACAGATTAGCAAGAGAAAATAACCACATTTAACACATATATGTGTCTGGGAACCCCACATACATGAGAGAGTCAGAGACCCCACGTGCTGGAGAGGTTTAGAGACCGAAAAGGAACATGGGCATATAAGACACCCCAAGCTAGGGATGAGGTAGGGTCATTGCAGGATGAGAAGAGAAGACACCTTCTAAATAGAAGTTTGTCCGGCCCTACGGATGAGTCAAAAGAGTTTATCGCTGATACCCACTTATTATGAGCAAGGCCCCTAATTCAGGTTCCCCTAGGTAGTTAAGAGAGGGGCAGAAGTTTCTCTTGAGCCTGCAGCTAAAGTCGCCTTTAGCTCAAAACAATTTGCCCACCACAGAGGCACATCTTGGGGTGACTTGTTCTGAACCCATCAACTACGAGAAACACGTGGGCAAGTCACTTAAGCACTTCGCACTCCTGTCCCCTCCTCCATAAAGAACATTAACACCATGTCTCCCTTGGAGTTGCTTTGAAGGTTAGTAACTAATGTATAAACTACCTGAAAACAGGACCTGTGTCCTGCTCACAATTGTGTATCTGGCACCTAGGGCTCTGCTCACCTCCAAATAGGTGTTCATTGAAAAACTGTTGAATGAATGAATGAATGAATCAATGGTAAATGTAAAATGTGTAGCACAGAGCCTACTCNCTCAATGGTGAATGTAAACTGTGTAGCACAGAGCCTACTCACGGTAGATAGCCAATGAAAATTCGTTGGCTGGCCATATAGCACCCAATAAAAGGTAAATATTAATAATACAGGGCGGATTTGTATAAGAAGGGCTCGCCTGAGATAAGAAATCTAAATGTCAGGTCAACTGATCAGCATTCCATGTATTCCCTTCCCAGTAACGCAGCTGACCTGGGAAAGCAAGGTGAATGGAAATATATGAAAAGAGCACTCCGGAAACTCCAAGAGGGGGCAGATTAAGTAGAAGCTACACTGACACTCTCCCAGGACCAAACTGGGATTACAACTAAAATACAGAGAAGCCAACCTGAATAATCAACTGAAGGCCAGCTGGAGAGCACCCTCATAACAAAGATTAAGGATGCTCTGGATCCTCCAACGTCCTGAACTTTCAGGTNCATAACCAAAGATTAAGGATGCTCTGGATCCTCCAACGTCCTGAACTTTCAGGTTCTCAGAGTAACCAGTGGCTACTTGTCTTTTGCCTCCAAGCCTTCTGCACGGTGTTCTCTCTGCCTCAAACACTCTTCCTTCATTTAACTCCTGCTCATCCTTCAGGTCACACATCCTTCTTCCAGAAAGTCTTACCTGACACCCTGGGTCCAGGTTGGTAGCCCTCCCATCTGGTCCTGGAGTCGTCCCCTGTCTCTTATCAGAGCAACATCAGTCTGGGCTCTATGGAAGATACTTGTTTCTTTATCTGACCTCCTTTCTGGACTGTAAACTTTGTCTCTTTTCTTCAACATTGAATCTTCAGCTCTGGGTACATGATAGGAGTTCAGTGAACACCTGCGGAGTAAGCAAGACGCAAAGCTAGAACCGAGTCCAGGTTAACGTTTGATTTTTAATCAAGTAGAAAATGAATAAATATCTCTGTTTTTCTCTGGTAAGGTACCATACTAAATCTGGTAATTTCATCTTAAAACTCCCATCTGCTCCAAGCGATCCAAGCAGACAGGTACCATAGATGGAATCAATAATAATATCCAGTGCTTGGCTAAGAGCTGGCTGCTGAACAAAGGTAGCATAAGTAGTATGATCTTTAAAAGAAAATACCAATCCTCACACCATCCCAGCATAAGGGACTGGTGGAAAGGAACAATTGGTGGATAAAACCTGGTGCAAAAGCCCCTTTGATAATTTAATAAATGTTGATAAGAACAGATTACAATTGACACCTGCCACTGCTGAGTGTCTGCGGCTCTATCTGGTTTTTGCAAGAGCCAAAGCTGCCTTTCATCCATTATGTCTCTAATCCCCAAGGAAGTGAGATAAAAACCCATCTATGTTTCCAGAATGAGGCATTGTTTTCCTCAGCCAAAAATCTGTAATTTCTCATTAGACTGTCAATAGCAAGATTGAAGATGGGCAGTTTCATTTGAAGCCAGTTGTACCAAGAACAAATATCACTCCTGGGGATTGCACAGAGTGTAATTAGGAAGCAAAGTGGTGATATATGTACTATGAGGACAAAGTAGCTAAAATGTTTCTCTAGGGTGATCCAAGTGTAAGTCTTACCTGGAATTAAAGGAATGATTTCAACCAATACCAGCCTGTGAAGAAGTTTTTAGTGCCACAGAAAAATGAGAAAAATACTTTGTGGGAGAGTTCTCTGAAAGGCCAAATTTATTCTTTTCATTTTTCATTTTAAGTTTTCATTATGCGCATTCAATTTTTTCGGCATTGACTGACATTTTTAATATAAAATACAGTTAAGTGGGGAAGCAAGTAACAGACCAGTGTGTATACACAAGAAACTGGTAACAAGAGTTTCCTCAAGGGAAGAAACTGGGCACTGCTGGGAAAGGGAGGGAGAGAATTTCACTAGATACCCTTTTGCTCCTTTTGGATTTTGAATCACATGCATGCATGAATTATTCAAAAACAAATTAATTGAATTAAAATGAATGAGTTAAAATAAATAAACTAAGTTGAAATGAAATGGGCCTTGTATAGGCCATAGTTTATGTCCTTCCATGAAAAAATTTAAAAATTGGCAGTTCTATGCCAGACTTGAAAACAAGTTCGAATATATTTAATCTATAAAATCCCAAGGTCTGGGAACGATTTCAAAATATTTTTTTCAACAAGCCAGTATTAACTAAACCCCTTCTCATTCCTGCTAAAGAAGGCCCACATGTTGGTTTGTCCCATCACTGGCAATGTTGACTTTGACCACGTGGTTAAAGTAGTGTCAGCCAGTTTTCTCTAAAAACTCCTTCTCTTGGTTACTCTTTTATCTTTTGTAAGTAATTTGTGTGGAGACTTTGAGGCTAGGTGAACAGCCTCATCAAATGTTCATGACTATTTTGAATAACCACTGATGATTGTGTAGCACCATCATCCCTTCTACGTTTATTAGTCGGCATCCTGCTGTAAGGAAGAGCTTGCCCTCTGCCTCTTTTGTTTACTTATTTCTTTAAATCACCATAGACTCATGAATTGTTATTTTATTTCATTCAAAGGATTTAAGTCCATTGCTACTATTAATTTTGATGCTTGTTAAGCAGATTTAGCTGGTGGGAAATCCTTTTTTTTTGTTTTTGTTTTTTTTTGTTTTTAAACCATGGATCACAAGCGCCTATAATTTAATCTAGTCTGACTGCTTCTCTGACTGAAATTCGCCCCTTTCTTCACCTATTTGGTTTTTGTATTAATCTTTGTCACCAGCCTATAAAATGAATGACGACTCGCTCTGTGGCTTCTGGCACAAGGTGTCCTGTATATCAGGTGATCAGTGAACTCCAGGATGCTGCTGTGCAGGCACGTCCATGGAGTAGTCGGGCAGCTCCCTATCACGCACGAGTAACGGCAACTCTGGGGAGCAGGAGTTTCCATATGAGGTATAACCTTGTGGGCAAAGGCTAAAAATGAATCAATCACTTGCTGTAAACCTTAGCAATGCCCGTATACTCCTCAAGTACACAAGTTCATTATTTAATGTAACAACCCTATTTTGTAACACACATGCAAGAAAAAAAAATGAATAGAGCTTGAATAGTCCATTTCCCTCAACTGAGAGCAAACCATCCGTGAGAGGGCGGACCGAATGATCTCTCTCGTCCATTCTTTAAGTAAATCCTTGAGTAAAATACTTAAAGTCCTTTAAGTGTTTCCTTGAGTAAATATCATAAGTAACACAGATAAATCTTTCATACAATGTAGAGATGCAAACAAAAATAACAGTCCTCTGGGCTTCAACCTCACGGGCCTAGTCTTTTTCTCGGTACCAGAGGGTTTGCTTCTCCAGCCAGCCTCTACTGGAATCTTAGTTTTCCGGTTCTCAGTTCTGACTACCTGTCGCAATCGCCTCTTGAACTTTAAAAGCATTCTGAGGCCTGTACCCCATCCTGGGAGACTCTGACCTAACTGGCCTGGGCGCTGCCTCCGCGTGGGGGCTTTAAAAGCTGCAGGGACTCGGACGCAGCAGTTTGAGAGCCTCTGGCTTCACCCACCTTGTCTGCCTCCCCGTGTCCAGCACCGCGCCTGGTGGAAGCGACGCTGAGAATGAATGAATGAAGCTCCATTCTCCAGGGAGGAAGGAAGGAGCTTAGTCTCACAGCCACAAACTCCCGGGGGCCCAGGCTGAGAGAAAACGAGGTGGCCGGGAGGTCCTGCAGAGCAGGGGGGGCGGGCCAGGCGCCGGCGCCCAGGCCTGTCTCTGGACTCTGACGAGGGTCCACCCGGGAGCGCAGGTGCTGCCCGGCCGAGGCCCGCAGGCCTCAGAAGTTCAGTTCACTAAGAAGGTCAGGGGCGCCGGGCGGTCGGGCTCCTAACTAGCGGCGCAAAGGCTGAAAAGGACAGGGGTGGGGACTCCCAGCTCTGGCCCAAGTCTGGTCAGCTCGAGTCCACCTGGGATCTTCTCTCGGCTCCAAAGAGCAGCGTGGCAGCGCTTCCCGCCGGGGGGACGCGCACTGTGGGAGCGGGCACGGCCGCGAGCCCAGCCGGGGAGGGCGCAGCGCCGCCGCCTGCGCTGGAGGTTCACGTCCTTGCGCAACTACCCCGG